GGATGCTCGAAGTAAATAATTTAGATGTTTTGTTTGGAGCGTTTGTTTGGGGTGGAGCTCAGCCACGAGGTATACATCTGCACTGAACGCGCACTCAAGTTGCTGTGGTTGGAGACCACACTTCAATTGGGTGGTGGGCACCTGCGAGAGGAACCCGAGGATTCCTAATGCTTCCTTCTGCGATGGTGTGCCCGATTGCGCTCGTGAGCCTAAAATCAACTATGCCGCCGTACCTTGGTGATGCCAGGAACTTGTTGCTTCAGAAGATGGAAGTTGTGTTATCTAACAGACTTAAGAGTCTTTGCCTGGTTGTAACATTGGAGCGCGGGCTACGGCTACGCTGAGAATCCAAAGCTTTTGAACCATGAGGTTGAAAGTTGGACCTGGATTTTGCCAAAGTATCTAGTGATTGGCTAAGGCCTACCAGTTCAATGGCAGCCACTTCATTCTGCAAGATTCTTCAACAGCCGGAGATTTATCAGATGCAGGAGTTTCGGGGTCGCATGCCACAAAGACGGGTTGGGAGTCGGCAAAAGATCGCTTTCGCTGGGAGGGTGGTGAAGGCGATTGGCCAACCAAGTACGCGCCATGGGGCCTTGGCGAGAGCGGCCCTCGCGGAATCACTCCACCTGCAGCACTGTGGGTGTTGAGCACTGACAGCTTTTATTATGGCACCTTATATATGCTGTCGCAGCTCACGCTTAACACCCAGGGTGTTGGGGAGCATGCTAACTGCTGGGAATGGGAGTTCGATGCGATCGAGGGTCTTATCGGAACGGTACCAAGAGGAAATCCGTTACCAGGCAACCTCAACCAGCTCTACGTGACTGCCACGGCTCAGGTCAGTGGTTGCATGCCCATGCCAGGAACAGCTGCTCAGGGCAATGGACAGGCACGCCGTTTTGCCCAGCCCCACACGTTCCAGGCCTTCTGCGACAGCAATCCTGCAGCGGTGGGATGCCAGCCATGGACTCGTGAGGGCGCAGACATATGGCATGGCGGCGGGTATCGCAGCACGGACCGCTTCGAGAACTCTGAAGAGACTCCCTACGTTTTCGCTGTTGCCACGGCCTCATTTGCTTGGGAAAGCTCATGTGAAGGGTCACCTTGCGTGATGGCATGACTTTTGATTGCAATTCGTTGTGGCAAGGTGCTTGACCATCAAGGCTTTTGGGTGTATCGATGGCGGCCTGATGACTCTGGTGAAACCGGCTGGCCAGGAATTTCTCGAACCAGTGCAAAACGTGTTCTCGGGAGTCGGCCTCGTCCTGTTTCTGATCCTAGTGGGCTGGAAACCAACGTGAAGTCTAATGTTCGCGAAGCGGTGATCCTGATTCCCAGTCTGCCCCCGGAGGCCTCTTGCACACGCTCCCTTCCAGAACAAGTTGATTGGCGCTGGGGAGCTGCTGCGCTGGGGTCCATGGCATACGAGGCCGATGAGTACAAGCTGGGGGGGAAGCTGCAGGGAGCTCAGAATTGGTGGGCTCATTTTGCGGATACCGGGCAGCTGCAGAACTATCCGCTCTCAATTGCTGGCGTGCCTGCCTCTGGCACAGAAGGTTCCCAGTTCTGTGATCAGCGCGATAAGTTTGGACAGAAATGTGATTGCATGGATCGTGACCAGCACGAAGCATCACTTCCAGAAACCAGCACTGCAACCAGCGCTGAAACCAGCGCTGCAACCAGCGCTGCAACCAGCGCTGCAGCGCCGAGCACGGAGGTAGGGCTCATGGTACAGAAGCTCCTGCGCGGTCAACAGACCGAAACAAAACTCCGTAAACCACCCAACTAGGAGGTGGTCCAATTTTTCTCAAGCAAGTCTTTTGCAGCCGCAGGTTGTACATAGCGTGCTCAACAACGAGAGCAAATATGCAAGCAATTCCTTTAGAGTTGTACAGCCTGTGTCCCTGAAGCGGATTACCAGACCTTCTAATTCCCACTCAACCTTGATTGCAGCCGAAGGTTCGATCTTTTGTTTCCGGCTGAATTCGAATTCAATACCAACAGTCAAGGTCATTATGCTCCAACCTCGCAACAGGAAAGAAGACTTGGATCTGTTCTTGCAAGCGCTGTTCCGAGCTTGACATTGCATTTGGCTCTGCGTTTCCGCTTGATAGGCCGAGGCAGCTTACGGGTCCGTTGATGGCGGAGGGAACTTGGCAGCTCTTGCAGCAAGCCAGGCTATGGGCTGAGCTGAGGCATAGCTACGCGAGCCTGGCACAACAATGGCATAGTGAGTCCGCATGGTGTCGCATGCTGGACCGGCCGAGGGTTGATTGGGTTTTGATGCAATGGTCTGAAGGGTTATGGGTCTTGTTTATTGACACTTGTTTACAGCATCCCGGTGTTTGGGTGTGAGCTCAGGCAACTTCCGGCTGGCGCTGCAGCACCTGCCGATTGCAATGGGGCGAGCAGGCTTGTGACACAGCTGGGACGTGCAAAGATGACGAACAGCGGCAGAATCGCCTCATTTCACATCCTTCAGTGGTGCGTGGACACTGATGCCGACTGGACAGCGCGGCTTTCTGTAAGGTCTTCGAGTGTAGCGTCTGTGACGTTCCCCGGCCTGGCTACGAGGACAAGGTCAGGAGGACAATGTCTAGGTTTCGGCATGCGAATTGCAGCCATGCCTCAAGAAAAGCCCAAAAGAGAATGCCGTGAGCAGTTGCAGTGCAGACTTTAAAGAAGATGTTTCCAACGCTGCGCATGCTGCATGTTTCGGAAGGTTGCAGCTTCCAAGGCCGACAAGGATGCGGCTAAGCCGGACACCTGATTTCTTGACCTATGCTCGCACTGCAGCCTCCGGCAGCCTTCAGGCAGAGCGCTATGGCTGCATTCTTGGGACCTCAGAGCCTCGGCACGTCAAAGTCTCATGAAAGGGTAGTTGAGGTGCCATGTCAGCAGACAACAAGGTCTGGCGGGGGAGGAGGGGGCTTTGGGCAGCTTTTGCCTCAGAGCTGCAATCGCTCGACTTGACCGGATCCTTGCAGCGCCGCCTCTGCGCCGTTAGAGCTGAGGTCTTCGAGCTCAACAGCCACAACGGCCACGTTTGGGAGCCTCAACTCAACTACCATGGAATGTGACGCAGTGAGCAGACCACAGCTCATCACATGATCGAGGTTTGGCGTCTCAGCTACGACTTCCACACCTGCAGTTCCACGCTCAGTTCTTTGGACGAACCCGCTGGTCCGGCTCTGGCTTTAAGATAGTAAGTGACTTACAAGTTGAAAGTGTTATGTGCTCATATAAGGCTTCTTCCAGTCCATCGATCTTCGGAGCGAATGCCAGTCCATCTTCCAGCTCCATTTTCAGCAAATGCCTCAAAGCAAAAGTCAACGTCGCCGCGTCACTCCCTGGGTCAGCAGGCGGTGCGTCGGCTTCCTCATTGTTTGGTGCTTCTTCGGGTGCCACACAGACAGGCAGCGGGTACAAGTGCAAGCCCAGGGGTGATCTCTAAGCACATGGCTGGGTCGGCGAATGTCGGTGAGCAAATGCCTCCAGTTCTCGCTCCAGCTAGGAATGGTTGAGCGCCACACTTTGGGTTGGCAGGCGGCGCATCGGCTTCCTCGTTGTTTGGCGCTTCTTCTGGTGCTACACAGACAGGCAACGGGCAGTGCGATTGTTGTGCGATTCATTTATATGTGCTTGACTTGGTCGGCGAACAAGCTGCTCGGGCATGGCTCAAGTTCTCGCTTCAGCTAGAAATGGTTGAGCAAGAGAATCCCGATGCCGCAAATGAAGACAATGATGAAGAAGAAGAAGATGATGAGGGCATCGATGATGAAGGCCGTAGCACTTTTATTCCCGTCGTCTTCTGGTGTGACAGCCGGCAGTCATACGTATGTAGAGCCATTTTGGCCCATGTCTCGCATTGCAACCCTGTGCATCCGATAAGCCAAGATGGTGTCCCTTTGAACCCAGATCATGTCACTGCAGGGGTACAGGAGCACCTGAAGGATGCGATCCATGGTACCCTGAAGCTGAAGCGGCTTCTCAGACCCTTCGCTGCTTTCGCATGCATAGACTTGACCATTGCAAGCGCGCCCAGACATGGATCCTAGACATGGATCCTGAATACAGATTGCCCCAGGCGAAGATGGAGATGCTTTCCAGACAACCGGCGGCTCCATAAAGAAACGCAGGACAGTGGAAAGATGTGGACCTGCAGAGCAAGCCAATGCCACTGGACTGGCAAGGAAACGCATTCTTAGAAAAAAGGCATCGGAAAGCAGTTTTTACTGCTTGTACTGTTTTGTAGGGATGTGTTTTTGTGCCCTGACCGTGGACAAGGGGTAGAGACCGTTGAGCCATGGAGAGCTTCCCAGCCTGTGATGGATTTCTAACGTTTAAGATCGTCTGTGCTGAGGTGACGCATCTTCTCACAAAGTGGGGAGCCGAGGACGATGTGCTGTTGAGGCAGGGTCCTAGATCAAATCGAGGACTGCCACAGGTAAATGTTAATGCTAGTGCACCACCTCGGCCTGGCTCAAGCGTTAGACTTGAAGGCTTCGGCTGGGAGTGGCGGGTCTGGAAGGAGGGTCCACTAGTTACACCACGGGTGGAGCTACTACCACAGCTGCAAGAAAGACCACAACTACTCCAAGGTAGAGCGCTGCAGTGCGCAACCTTCTATTCAAACAAAAAGCTTATGCACGCTCCCTCGCAAAGATTTTGACGGTCCGTACAGAAACTAAAACAGGCTTTAGGAAGACCAAGGGCCGCCTTATCGCAACCACCTAGTACGATTAGATATTGCCAGGCTTCAAAAACAAATGCCGACCCCTCAGAAAAAGTGACGCATTGTCGCATTTCGAACAAATCTAACAACCCTGAATCCTGATCTGAGTTTGTCCATAGAACCTAGGCTGTGGCTTGACGGGTAAGGACCTCACTTAGACTGACATTTGTCGTTGAGAATGGTTCAGACGTGCTCACACTGCGGCAGGCAGAAAAGTTTGTTGCACAGCCACTTACTGAGGTGCAAAAACATACCCACCCCCTTTCGCTTTCAAACTCCTCCACCAGCAAGGTCTCAAGTCTTTTGTCCAGGAACAATCATGATACTAGTGCAGTTTAGTTCTCGTGCGATTTGCTTGTCCGGGACGTGCTCGGATGCCACATTGGCTGCACGCATGCTGAAGTTCTTGTGCCGCGAAGATATGATGAGAAGGTGCATGGGGAACGCGCTCACTACAAATACGGACAACGCGATGTGCCCAGTGTTTGGCGCGCTTGGCGTCAAAGTTGTCTGTGCACCTTGGGCGCCCATCGCATAGGGCGCACAAGTTTGCAATCGGGAAGCCACTCAAACATCGAACTTTGCCTCCATGAAGCTGCCGCAGCTCCAGCGTGGGGATGCCACATCGGACGCGCCGATATCATAACCGAAGCTTGTACTCCAAATAATGACGCAGCCGTCCCCTCCTCACGCAACATCCGAATTCACAGCGATCACCACGGAGAAATGCAAAGCCGCATCAGGCCAGTAAAAAAAGAGCTTGTCGGTACTCCATGCTCTCTGACAGCATAAGGATGAACGTGAAGAGGGCGCTGGTCAAGCTATGAGTGGCTCAGCTGTAGCGCAGGTCCTCGGTCTTGTCTTGTCTGGGTCTTCCTCCAACTGGTGGGGTCTTGCCTGCCCTGCACACTGTAGCAGTAGTGTAGGCATTCTCCTGGTGGTTTGGATTAGTGGGTTTTCGGTTGGGGCCCTAGTGGCTACTTTCTATCTTAGGGTTTTGCTCTTCGCCGGGCCCACCTCTGCCTTTCATCCTCACCCCGTGCAACCCGTGTTTCGAGGGACCCCTCCTTCGACTGCATCTCGCCTGGCTGCCTATCGTGCATGATCCCAGGGGGCCACTCCAGCGAGCCGGACTCCCTGGACGCCGAGGCTCTTGCTGAGGCTTTCGAGCAGCTGACTGTAGCTGCCTCTTCCCTTGCTCGTGCCCTGCGTCCTGCTCAACCTGAGTGGGAAGTAGTGGGTGATCCCCTTTCCTCGTCCTCTGCCGGGCCCTCTTC